CACAGTGGTAAACAAACACTTATGTAAATAAAAATACATCAAATCACAATTATAACCAGTAGACGACAACAGAGGACCACTTATTGGCTTATTAGTCATTCATTTCTACTTTTTCTATATTTTTGAAATTATAAAATCACTATTATCAAATTATTATCAAATATAATTATTTATAATAGATATTGTCAAAAAAATCAAGAAATCAGATTTTTGTCAGAATTTTACACTTTTTTTGTATGAAGTAAGACAAGTCACAAAGTACCTTGAAAAACAAACTTTTTCTTCAATTTGCTACTAAATCACACATAATCACTGAAGTTGGTCAGTTCCATATACTAGAAGGATAATGGTACATTTAATAAGAGTGGAATATATAAAAATTTGATTTTGCACCTGTTACTGTTCTTAATAAAAATAAATGTTGTATGCATATTAACTCAAGCTTAGTGCTTTACTGTCAAATGCAATACTGTCAAAACAAAAGAAAAATAAACAAGAAATGAACATGTAATATTATAAGTAACTGCACTTATTAATGCAAAACAATAGTAATTTTATGATTAAATGATTTATATTTTAATACTCCCGCACACCACCCCAAGCGCTACCAAATTTGCTCCTGATGCCAACATCTTTAGAACTTAGTGGCGCTGCTGCCACTGCTCTCAAAAGTTAGTCTGGAGCCCTGATGGGGGGTATTAAAAATAATTTAAAAAACGATAATTAAATCATAAAATTATTATAGCTTTGCATTAATAAATGTAGTTACCAGTAATATTACACATTTATTTCTTGCTAATGCACATTTAACAGTAAAGCACTGAGCTTGAGTTGGGAAGCACAAAATGTACATTTATTAACAACAGTAACGTGCAAAATGTAAGTTTTACAAAGAAAATTAACATTCTACTCTCATTAAATGTACCATTATTGTTCTGTAGTATTATATAGTATACGGAACTGACCAACAACTTCAGTATTTATAAAAGGAGCTCTCTTGTGTGATTCAGTCAGGGAAGTTTTTTTTTTCAAGGCACTTTGTGACTTTTCTTACTTCATACACAAACACTTTTACAAAATTTGATTTCTTGATGATTTAAAATTTTATAATAGTGATTTTATAATTTTAAAATATAAAGTGTTTACCACAAAGTATATTTTGGTCATCCCTTTAAAAATAACATTTTAATTGTATGCTTGCTAGAGTTTTAAAGTGCTGTAAATAGTTGTGTGAAATACTTAAAAGTACTTGAATTTCTCTCTCAAAACTTTGTACAAACCCTGAAATGCATAACGTAATGAAAATTAACTCTTTCTTCCACAACACCATGGTTATAGTTAGTGTTACTACTTCTGGTTATATGTCAGCGCTGTTTGACCTGTTTATAACAGATTTCTGTGCAGAATTTGAATGCTTCTCACTAGAGCTCACAGCAACCTTTATTCATTCTGCAGCAAATTCAAGTGCTTCTCACTGGATCTCGCACACTGTGCAGTAACAGTGTCGCGAAATCAACACTGCTTCCTGAGTAAACCCGTTCTGAGCTCGGAGAAGTTTGTTTGCTCTGCGCTGATCCGAGCTGATAAACGGTTTGCACTGCACAGCTCAAACGAGTAGCGGCGCTTCACTAGCTTTTGTTTCGCTTGCTGTTTGATGTTTCTTATATGCAACAGAAATAGCAGCGCTTTATGAGGTGGGGCTAATGAATTTCCACTTGACAAACCGTTTAGTGCTGAAAGAGAATCTGTGCATATCACTGCCTTTGTTGGTTGTATTTCTTCTATCCACTGAAGTGCTAGTAAGATTGCTATTAGTTCTGCAGTAAATACAGAAATATGATCTGAAGTTCTTTTTGACATTTTAATTTTGAATAGGGGAATATATACTGCTACAGCTGTTTTCCCAGAGTCTGGATCCTTTGAACCATCAGTGTATATTTGTACTACACTATAATATGTAAGATCTATATATTTCTGTACAGCTGAACTTTCTAATACGCTTGTTTCATTGTTTTGTTTTTCTTTATGCAACTGGATATCAATCAAAGGCATTGGGAAAAGCCAAGGAGGAATTGCTGAGCTAGCCACAGTAGGATCAATATGTATATCACTTAAAGGGGTCATATGATGCAATTTCAATTTTTCCTTTCTCTTTGGAGTGTTACAAGCTCTTGGTGCATAAAGAAGATCTGTAAAGTTGCAAACACTAAAGTCTCAAAACCAAAGAGATATTCTTTATAAAAGTTAAGAGTTAACCACGCCTACCTAAAACGGCTC